ATTATTATTATTATTATGTCTTCTCTTCTTATCTTGTCCTATTAACCTGTCCTTATCTCAACCCATGAGTTACCTTTTTCTTCCATTTCTCCTTCCAGTCACACTGGGGGAGGGAGGAGTGAGCGAGCAACCGCATGGTGCTTAGTTGCCAGCTGGGCCTAAACCACGACATCATATCAAGTCACTGACGTGGAGTTCCATATTACTGGTTTAATTCTATGCTTCCATTATTTGTTCTTTAATTAAAGTCATAATGCCAAAAGTTACAGCTTTCATTTATCTGGTATATTATTATAATAGTTTCAGTATCAAAGTAATGCAGAAAAACGTCCTCTTTTATGACAGCAGTTTTTTCCTAATAGTAAAGATTAGTAAAGATTTCATTTTCTGTAACTATCTTTGTCCTAGTCTGAATGAAGGTATTTTGCTTTTGTGAACTTTTGAGTATTAATCCCATTGATTGGGAAACTATTTCAGTTTTGTATAGAGACAGAGTATTGAGCATCTGCTACAGTGTTGAAGACGCTGAGAGCACAGGAGAAATTCTAGAGGGATAGTAAGTGTCAGTGAAAGACCCTAGTAACTGATTGTAGTTATATTTTGTTTTATTAAAAGGTTTCTTTTATAAAATCATAAAAACATAGAATGGTTTGGGTTGTAAGGGATCTTTAAAAGTTTCTATTTCCCTGGTAGAATACCATATGCTTGGTTTCCATTACTGCAAAACTGAATGCTTTTTCTAATGTCCTTATTCATAAAAGACTGTGTGCAATGAGAACTTGGTTTATAACCAGCTTATGAGAGTATATTTGAAGCATTTGAACATACTGGGGAAGAGTCATCATTTGCCATGATAATGTGGAGACAGCCATCTGGTGACATAGTTCCTAAAGTGGCATAATGCCCTTCCCTAGCCATTAGATTTGTTAGAGAGAGATCTGGTCACCTATTGCAACAATTTATCACATGCAGATCATTTCTGTTCTGTTTTAGTCAATAGAGGGGAAAAAAGAGAACTACTTCTTTGCATAATTACAAGCTGACATTTGACCAAATGACTTTCATAAGAAAAAGAAGTAAAAGCTGTTTAATCTAGTGTAGAAAATTGGATGCTTATGATTTCATCATGCTCGATTTTTTTACCTGTAGTGCTGCATACTCAGACAGCAAACATTGTGCTAAACCCCTGCTATGCATCATTTTGTAGATAGACAGAAAACAGGTTTACAGTTTATTATGTTAACATAAACAGTAGAAACTCTCAAAAGCAAAGATAGTTGGGTGAAGATGACATTACACTGTTATCTCTTCTTGGTTTACTTTGATAATGTGCCAAAAAACTTAATAATGTTTGTTTGAAACTTTAGAAAACAAAAACAGCTGTCCTAGAGAAGACACATTGTTTTAAAAATATTAAAGTATGCCACTACTGTGTATATTAAATATTAAGATCTCAGTGTTGTTTATAAAACTTGTGGTGGGTTAACCTTGGCTGGATGCCAGGTGCTCACCAAGCTGCTCTATCACCCCCCCTCCTCAGCAGGATGGGGAGGGGAGAAAATAAGATGGAAAAAAAAAAATGTGGGTCAATATGAAGGCAGTTTAATAGAAGCACAAAGCAAGGGCCAGGCACAGGAGCAAAGAAAAAACAGAATATTTATTCTCTACTTCCCATCAGCAGGTGATGTTTGGCCACTTCCCGGGAAGCAGGGCTTTGTATGCGTAGTGGTCGCTCCAGTGGTCAAATGTTGCAAATAACGAATGCCTCCCATTCCACCTCCCTTCTCCTAGCTTTTATTTCTGAGCAGACGTCATACGGTATGGACTATCCCTTCAGTCAGTTTGGGTCAGCTGTCCTGGTTATGTCCCCTCCTGACATCTTGCCTAGCCACAGCCTGCTGTAGGTGGGCAGAATGTTCAAGAGCCAGCCTTGGTGCTGTGCGAGCACTACTCAGCAGTAACCAAAACACTGGTGTGTTACCAACACCTTTCTGGCTACCAATACAAAACACAGCACTCTGAGGGCTGCTATGAGGAAAATTAACTCCATCTCAGCCAGACCCAATACAACACCTGAAAAAGTCCCAGCACTTACTGAAAGAGTACAGTGCACTATGGTTTTGCATTGTGTCCTGAAGGCTGGCACACCAGGGCTTTCCAAGATAACAGGGAACTGATATTCAAAGCTGAAGCTTGTCAGTAACCCCAGTCTTGGAGATTTTGTGTACTATACATACAATTTAAATTTGAAGCTGCAATGATATGTAATGGAGTAGGCATTAAAAATAGTCTTTAAGGAACTCTTAAGATTACTATTTGAAACAAAGGAGTATTTACAGGGCAAAAGCATTAGTTCAGAATTATTTAAAATGTGCTAGGCTTTGGTTTTGGTGGGCCCAAAGCAGAGCGTAAGTCATAGGCACTCTCAGTCTTGAAAGAAATGTCACTTGGAAAGTAGGACTGGTATCTATTGGTGTAGCTAAACTTGAATTTCAACCAGAATTATGACTGTGGGAGTGATTCTGCACAGACTGGAGCATTCTCTAGGTTTGCAGTGGTTTTTTGTGGCCAAGCAAAAAAATGCAGTGGGATTGGTCAAACTTAGTATGTTGTCATTCCTTGAAAAAACTTTTCACTTTTTAGTGTACATGCCACTTCTCAAATGGCTTTTGTTAGCAAAGCAAGCCCAAGTTCTCACTCACTCAGTAAATAAGTTGTTGCTTACTTTGCAGTTTATATTATCTCTGTTATAGTTTGGCTGTCTCCCTTAACATCTCGCTCCTGAGAGATGAAACCAAGACTTCTTATGTGGACCTAACTGAAAATGATGCTGTGTCTGAGACTAATGCAAATAATTGTCTGTTCCTGCTCTTTCTTTTGAATTGGTCTGTGGTAGAGGATCCCCAAGGAGAGAAGTGTAGAGGGGAGGAAAGGTGGGAACAGCATTCCACATCCACCGACGGGAGGCATGCAGGCAGGGAAGCGGGATTGCTCCAGCTTCCCAGATACACGAGTTGTTCCAGACTTCTGCCATTAGCATTATCCAAAATTGCCCTCTAAGCATTGTGAGAGTTAGACTACTTTATTTTTTTATTTTTTATTTTTTTTTACCATTTTTCATGTTGGACACATGGCTAAAGGAAACCCTTTAATTACATTAATAAATTACAGTTAATTAATAAATTACAGTTATGTTGCTTGATTGAGATGGAGTCAGATTAAATGCTCCTTCTTGCCTTGAAAAAGAATTTATATGAAAATAACTCAAGGAATTTCTTGTGTTTCCTTGTAGGTGGCATTAAGTGTCCTGTTTGCAGCTTTGTGTATGGCACAAAATGGGAGTTCAACAGACATCTTAAAAACAAGCATGGAATGAAGCTAGTGGAACACGATGGGGAGACCAAGTGGGAGGTAAAGCAATGTTGCCGTGGCTTTGACCCTCAGATTTAAAAAAGTCTAGGGAGAAAAGTAAGGATAAGAATAAGAAGTATTCAGAAATATGTTCTTGACTTTATATCAGAAAGTCACGTGCATGGATGCATACATTGCTATGAGTGTTAAGCTTGACTGATTTAATATCTAGTAGGATTAACAACCTCATAAGTACTTATTTCTTCATTTTAGTGCTCTAGTTTTAGGGTCATGTGCATGGATGCATACATTGCTATGACTGTTAAGCTTGACTGATTTAATATCTGGTAGGATTAACAACCTCATAAGTGCTTATTTCTTCATTTTAGTGCTCTAGTTTTAGCAAAAATATGTGAAATTGAAAAACTTACTTCATTTTGTTATATGCCAAATATTCGCTGGTGTTAACTGAAAGATGTGCAAAGCTGCAAAATTATATTAAATTAATGAAAAAATCTGATATCTTGGTCCAGAAAAGGTTAGAATATAGAAAATGGAATTTGTAAATTCATCAACTAAAAAATAGTACTGTTATACAGGGTAAGTCAGTAAGTTTTCTATCATTTGTTTGCTGTTATCAGCTTCAATACAAAATATATAGGAAATCACAGTATCACTAAGGTCAGACCTTGAAAAATTTAAGTTAGACCTAAGAAGCTGGGTTAGGAAAAAAACAACTACCTGGATTTTCTCAATTTGGGGTGGCACAGGGCAGCTTCCTTGACAGGGCTTACCCTTTCAAGCTCTCCTCTGCTGCTACGTGTGTAGCAATTTGTTCTGAAATGAAAACTGTTTCTCTTATAAAGCCGAGCTGACTGTGGATGCAGAAACTATGGAAAGACCACAGAACTATCTAGACAATTTTATTTAAAAAATTACAGTTGGCAAGCTGAGTCTTTTCCACTGCCTGAGTAGGCTATTGTTGGTGTCCAATGAGAGGAAAAAGACAGAAGTCAACTGCAGTTGGCTGACCTCCACAGTTTAAGACCTGTTTCTGCTAAATTTCAGGCAGTCTAGCCCCTGGTATAAATCTAATGCCTGATTTGGAAGAGCTGTCCTGCAGTTCTTGGTTAACAGTTTTTGAGTATCCACAGATTAGAATGTTAATTCCTTGAAAAATACTGGAGTAGGTTCCATATGGACAGTTATTCAAAGATGACAGGGCAAGCATTTTTAAATGTATTCCTTCAAAGCCTTGTATCCACATGCATTTCCCAAACAATTCTCTGTACACTCTCCCAGTAGATGCCCAAACCTGAAAAAATATAAGAACATTCAGGATGCAAGCGTGTGTCTGCTGCTGAAATGGCCATGGATAAAGAAGTCCCATCAGAGCAGAAATACATATTGACAACCTATCTGGAAAAGACATAGTTATGGAAAGGATAATTTTTTCTGCAACAAAATGCCATTTTCAGTTTTCAGAGACATTTTAGCAGATCTGCAAGGACATGTATTATGAACTAATTTTGCCCAAAAGGTCTTTACTAGATCCTGATACAATAAAAGTCTGTTGTTAGTTCTAAAATAATTATGCAACAGAAATGAAGTCAAGATAATTTAGAATGCTTAAAACAACTTCTGAAATAGAATCTAGAAGAAAACTATGGATTGTTGTCCCAACTTCCATGTAATATTCTTCTTGAATTCTATTTCACCCAGTATTTCTTATTACAACATTTGTTGTCCAAAACTCTTTCCTTTAAACTCAGAACTTTAGTTTTTCTCTAAATTGCTCAAATGAGAGTGAAATTATTGATGCCTTGGCTGGGTTTTGTTTTCAAGTTAACTGCTGAAGTATCTGAAGAAGCATCCACTCAGTATCTCCATATCACGGAGGCTGGAGAAGATGTTCAAGGCACTCAAGCTGCTGTAGCAGCATTACAGAACCTTAGATATACCTCTGAGAATGGTAAGTTACCTTTTTTTAGGTTGGAACACGAAATATATCTTTTTTCATAAATATCTTAATTTTTTTGAGTATACTGGGCAATATATGATCTCCTGTGAAACTTTTAAAAATGATGAAATTTGTCATCCAGAACTTACATCTGGGGGTTTATATTTTACTTTGAGGATAAATAATGAGAAATGACCATTCTTTATGGATGTGTATATCCTTAAGTCATTAATACTTATCACACTGTTTTGCACTTTGTTATTAGATATGTGGAATTTCCTGCCTGTATTATTAAATATGTTGTGAAATCAGCTATATTGGCAAAGTAGATGGTGTGTATCTAATGGGAATTCCCTAGCTATTATTTTTCTCCCTGCTTAAATCAGCCAGACTACAGAAGTGGCACGGTGGAGTACCTCATTTACCATGTTACAAACTTAATTCTGATGGTACACAAAATTAAGTAAGCTATTCTGTATCAGACTGAGGAAGAACAACAGTGGGAATAGATAATGATTGCCAAGTAGGAAATAACAAAAACTGGAAGAAAATAAAAAATGTCCAGGTTTCTGAGAGTGTTAAAACATCAGAGACAGGAGAAGATGTTGATGTGTTTTGGTTCTTTATATATAAATAAAGGCATTGGTTATCAGAAGATGGTATTTTACAGTTCTTTACTATTGTGGTCTTTATAGTTCATAATACAGATAACATTTCAAAAACTCCTACTTCTAATGAAATTTCCAAGCCAGCAATTAAATTACATTACTGCCAGTTTCTGTAGATTATTTTATTTTAATGACTGGGAATTCTGAATGAGTAAAAACCTCTTGAGAACTTTTCTTAAGCTTTTATGTATTTAAATTAAAATACAAATAATCATGAAATATACTGTACAATTTTAAGCATGAGGCTGTAGTTTTCAGAGTCTAATGATTTGCTTTTTAATGCATCCAACTTCAGATACTCTTCCAGTATATTCCTTCCAGGTGTGGAAAACAGCAATATCTTGTCTAAAGGCAGTTATATATATATTAAAAAAACCCAAAAACTAAAGCAAGCAAACATTTTTCAGTACTCAAATAAACTTGTTTCTTATGTAGATAACAAAATATAACTACTTTCTGTTTGAAATGAAATTACCTGATCTATATCCCCATCACAATATCAACCTCAGTTTGAAATGGATTGGGATTAAGAGATGAACTTTATTCTATTTAATTTCTCTTTCTTAGTTTCAACAGTAAATTTGGTTACAGCAAATAAAAGGCAGCTTTAGCATGACCCTGAGAGTTTCTTTCCCTTTCTGACATATTTCTAATGCTGAGACTTGGCCTGTGGGAGTGGTGGGCCACAGGAGGGGAATTTGTATTCCTGCATAACAAAAAACATTTTCCAGTGTACAGATCTTTCCTTTCCACAATTTGGGAGAAATGAGAGAACAACTAAGTATGAGTTGCTTGTTGGGGTTTTTTTGTAAACTTGCCTTTCCTTTGGCAGGGCTATACACATCAAGAAGATTTTTTTGTTTTTAATAAAAAAGGGCAAACATGTTCTGATCCCATGCTTATAAAATGATAAACATGAGCTCTCTCAAGCAATTAACTTTCCCCTTCCTCATGGTAGTGATACCAGTACTTCTTATAGGTTGAGGGGTATTGCAGATGGCTGGACAGATGGTAATCACAATACACTGTGTAGCTGTTGTGGTTATAGGTATAGAGTTTGGGTTCTGTTTAAGCTGAATGTCTGGCAAATACACATTTGGACTTGTAAAGTCTTGCAGCTTCCTAGTTTGCAGTTACTGCTATGAGTTGTATTTATTGTTACTTTATTCAATGAATTCTTTTAGATCTCTTTCAAATAGGCATAAAAATGATTAGTGTGACTTCACTTGCTGATTCATGCATTCCTCGGGCAGATTTGTTTTGTGAATACTTTCCTACCATCGATCTCTTATTAAAGTGTCAAGTTGTTGAGCTATTTGAAATTTAGAGACAGTGCTGTGAGTCAGGGCTAAGGCAAGAGAGGG